AAAAAAAAAAAAGAAAGGAAAGAGGAGCTGGGAGCAACTTTTGTATTTATAGATACTATGGAAATTCACAACAGACAGCCCAAAGAAAGTAAAGGTACACTGGGCCTGCAATATGTCCCATCGATGGACTATTCTTCTTACTTTTCAATCCTTGCTCCCATGAAGTTGCAGTGGGCCTGCATGCCCACCGCCATTTTTGTCTTGGAAGAATTTGTTTTACCGGGATCTACTTCGTGTTGCTCTGTTCAAAGGAGGTTCTCATTTAGTAACGAATTTAAAATTTTGATTATGAGATAATTCAAAGATAATTATAAAAATAATTATATTATATATATCAAGTTTTATATCTATAATAATAAAAAATTAAAAATTAAGGGGAGGTAGCCGCCACCACCCATCACCCACTTGCCTCTACCCTTGATTTGATTATTTGGATTGTAATTAACTTCGGAAAAGGTTGTTTAAGAGAACACAAGCAGAAAGGTTTGGCCCCATGTTTTCTTTTATTTAATTTAGAGTTCTATCCAATTTTTAACCACGTATAACCCAACGGCTATTAACATTGGGATTTTGAATATCTTAAATGAGTTTAAATTATTTTGAGGAAAATAAATTTTGACAATGTAGATTTAATTTGACAATTGTATTCTCTTTTAAGAGAGTTATTGTATAATATTAATATGTGAATCTCTTCTCTTTCCATTGTTTATCCTAAGCTTCCTAGATGTAAAAAAATAAAAAGAAAAGCTATTGTGACCTAAAGTCTACAATCTACTAAAATTAAGTGTATATACATATATATATTTCTCCAAAATTAAACTTAAAAATTATATTTTAATTTCACAAAGGATAAATTAAGAATCTTAAAAAATTTATAAACGTAAATATCGTTTTTTATAGAGAAGGTATTAACCTTTTGACACTTAAACAAATTTCAGCCAAGGTAATTAATATTTATATATCTTTGTTTTTATGAAAGGTCTTTATATATCTTTGTTCAAATCATATTTTCTAATAATGTACAAAAATACCTATATTATTTCGTCAGAAATAAGAACAATGTATTCAAAGTTTGGTCTTTGAGCACTTTAAGTCTTGTATAATATGAATTTCCCTCAATTCTCTATCTTCTTCCGAACATACCTTCGAGGGTGTCAAATTATACCTTTATTTTTATAAATTATGGAATCATTAACTTTAAATGGAAGTAAAACCCTTCATTTGATTAATCATGCACGCAAAAGACACTATATATATATAAAGGAAATTAATAAAATTATATACAAACTATAATAACAATAATCAAATCGTATAGAATCTTCATATGAAAATTAAAGGCAGCGTACTTCGCTAGAACGCTGGAATAAAAAACATGGATCGTCATGGGCGGTGATGGTATTGGAATTTCTTTCTTTTGGTTTAAATCAAAAATAAAAAATCAATAGCTAAGGAGTGGTCCAATCAAAATGTTTGAAAAAATGACCCTGGAGAACAATTCAATATTCATCCATGTTCCAGAAGTTTGACCTTTTTTGAGGTTAGTCCAGGTTAATGGCCCCCCTCCCCCTCTCACTAATCACTCACTCTGCTTCTATTACCCAAAATTCTGATTCCTGCACTATTACAGAATCAAATCTTGTTCCCTCGTGTTGGAACCTCAAAAAGGTTAATTGCTTCAAAATATTCTGATTTCATTTTGATTTTATACTAAGTGATTTCATGTCATTGCTTACGTGAGTCTTCTAGAAAGACTTAATTTTAAACAAAATCAATATAAAAAAAAACATTGTTTGTTAAATTTTATACAATAAATTAAATACTTGAAGCAAATGAAAATAACATAAGAAATTTGAATTCAATTTGTGTAAAGAATAACAATTTTTTTGTTTGAGAAAAAAGATTAAAACTCTTACTAATTAAGAAGTCAAATGTTCAGATACAATAAAGATAATATTTTAATATGATGTGAATTTGTGCAATAAGTAAGACATTTGGAGGTTCATATAATTTCAAAATATTTTAAAATTTT